CCGCGCCCCCCACGGGCCCCGCCCCTCCCCGGCCCCCTCCTCCAGCCCGCCTCCGCAGGACTACCTAGGCGGGCCCTCTACCTTTTGCTCTTGGTTAAAGTCGGCCTTCTGCGTGAAGGGGCTTTCGCTTTGGAACCACAAGGTCTGCCACGCCCTGCGGCCACCGCCGTCTGCAGTAGCAGCAGCGTGGTTGGGGAGGGAAGGAAGGCTGGTGGCCGGAGCCCCACTCCCAGGGCAGGGGGCGGGGCGCAGGGAGGGGGCACGCACCGCGGGTGGGGAACCTGCGGCCGATGCTGAAGTGGGGATGTGGGGAGGACTCGCGCACTGAAGCATCCGGCACCAGGTACTTGGCGGGGCCGGGGACCTGCAGGTCGGTCACGATGGGTGGGCGTCGTTCCAGCCCTGGCCGGAAGCAAGCTCTGGTTTGGGGACTCAGCAGACGCCTCCCACCCCTGCCCGCCTCTCCAAACCAGACCGAGGTGGGGGCAGCCAGGACCCTTACTCACACAGGTCCCTCAGGTTCTGGGTGCAGATAGGGGGGCGCTCCTGGAGGGAGCCTGTTTGCATCCTGAGGCCAGCCTGGAACTCCTGCACTCCTGGGGGCCGCGTCTCCTCCCAGGCGGTCTCTGGCTGGGGGCCCCACAAGAACACACTAGCCTGGGGCCTACGAGGGAGAGGGGGGAGCGTTGTCCACCCAGCCCAGTGGCCACCCCATCTGGGCTGTTCCCCCAGCGCACCCAGCTCCCTGAGAAGTTACTGGGCTGGCACAAGTGGCCCCTGCCTCGGGGAGCCATGGGTCCAGTGTTGGCCTCCATTGATGTAAAAATTCGCCAGGAATTTCACAGTTTTCTGGTCAAAATTCATTGTCAAAGTATCTGGCTCCCTTCCCCAGGGACACCTCGGAGCTCTGTGACCTCATTAGCCAGCCATGGACACCCCCTGCCTCAGTTGCCAGGGACTCCCTGGGGAAGGAGCATTGTCCAGCCCTCTGAGGAGGGGCCCCTCAGAGACCCCTCCCCTGGCCGGCCAGGTGGGTCACTCTGGCGTCAGCCTGGGCCAGGAGGACCCCTAGCCTGCCCCAGCGACTTCTGGCTTGGCCTCTTTTCCTCTCTTCTCCCCTTCCTTATCCCAACCCCTCTCCTCTCCTAGGATCTGGGGTCTCTTGGACGGCCAGGGTCCACCTTAGCAGGGCTTCTGGGAGGACTGGGGCCTCTGCACAGGGATGAGAAGAGCAGCTGCTATGGGTTGCCCAGCTGTACCGGGCCATCCAGAATGAAGGGGGAGGGTGGAGGGATCCGGGGAAACTCCCTGGAGGAGGAGCTCCTGCTGGAAACCCAGCCCTCAGAAAAGCAAAGCAATGGAAAGTGGGTCTGGGTGGACCATGCTGACCACAGAGGCAGTCTGGGGACTGGAGCTGCCTGGTGGCCCAGGCAGGGCTGAGGTATGGGGGCCCGTCTTCTGCTTAGCTGCACAGAGGCTATAAGGTGTCACAGACGAATGGGGCTGCCCGGGCTGAAGTGTGAAGGAATAATGAGCCCAAATGAGGGAGAGCCCACTTGGGCACCAGGGCCCTTGCTGTGCCCTTTGCAACCAACCAGCCTGCCAGCCCTAGCCCTGGTCTTGACCTAATCCATGCAAGCAGGGCCCAGGCAAGAACAGCTCATCCTCCAGGCCTACCCCACCCCGACCAAGTCTCTTTCTCTGCAGATCTCTCCCATCCAGCACTGACCCTGCCTGGCCTCGGGAGGCGCTCTGGATGGATGGAAGGAGGGACAGATAGAAACCTGCTTCAGGAAACACCTGTTTCATTAGGGTGAGGGGCTCTTGGCCTGTGCTCTGGGCCCCTCCCTTGTTGCATGGTGTTCTGCAGGTGCAGCTTTTGTAACCAAGCCCCCGTCACTGGACATTTGAGATAGTCCCAATTTCTCCCTGTATCAAATACTACTATGATGGCTGACATCCCACGGATGTCCTCAGCTAGATGTCTGTCGTTTCCTTCAGACGGGTTCCTGTGAGCAGAAGCGGCCCGTCCAAGTAGGTAATGTCCGGTGTCCCCCAACTGCTTTCCAGACCGCGCCTGTGGCCTTGCTGGGCCAGCATCGACCACCTCCATGAGGTTCAGCCTTGTGTCCGTGTGTCCCCTGACTGTGGGTTCTCTTCTTGAGATGTTCACATTACATTTTCCTGCCATAGTGCTATTTTTTCTTGTTTTTGTGAAGTTTTTACACAGTATAGAGATAGTATATCTCTTCATAACACTTGTTGCAATCTTTTTTTCCCCCGGCTTGTAGTTTGCCTTTTAGTATTTGTGTGTGTGTGTGTGTGTGTTTGACATGTACTAGAATCTGCTCATCTTTTCCTTTGATACTTTCCTTTGCTTTTATAGTTAGGAAGTCATTCCTATACAAAAAAAATCAGGGATTATTTAAAATGGCAACTAGTGCCCAGTTCCAGGGGAAAGACTCTCCAGGACAGAGTCCCAACAGCCCTGAAGCTCGGACACCTCCCCGAGGAGGCCTCCCACAATGCCTGAGAAGCTTCCAGGGCCTCTGGTCTGAGGAGGGGGCTTTGTGGGAAAGCTACTTTTCAGTTGGCCACTGGGGGCAGCAAGTCTGGCAGGGCCAACATGGCCGTCCCGATTCCCGGAGCTCTGAGGCCCTCAGGCTGACACTCCTAGCCTGTTGCCTGTCTGGGCCTAGAGTTCCACCTGTAACATGGGAGCACTCACTGGGTTAAGGAGGGGTCCTGGGCCAGGAAGGGCCCAACAATGGCAGGCCCCTTCACAATGGTTTCCAGGCAACAGGGACTCCTCTGAGGGAAGGGAGGCAGACGCTGGAAGGGGCTGGGGCCGCCAAAGGCGCTGTTGAGGCCAGATGACAGCTACTCAGAAACACAACCTCTTCACGCCAGAACCTCACTATATCCCTGGGTAAGTGCTGGAGCCCTGGAGGAGGCTGGGCTGGGCGGAGGATGGGGGAGTGGGGCTGGGCCTAAGGGCTCAAGGCCACCTGTGAAGAGAGCACCAGAGCTGGTCTCCGGGGAGTGGGGGTGAGGCCTGAGGGCCCCGGAGAGGCCTAGGGCAGGAGCACTCCCTGCTTGGCCTGTGCTGAGAGCCCCACCAGATGGTCAACATGCCTGTGAAGAGCAGGACACCAGGGACAGACAGCCCAAGAGCTGGCCGAGGCTGGCTAAGTAAACCCTGGATGCCCCATAGAGGGCTGCGTGTCTTAAAGACATAAGCCTCCAGAGTAGGCTGATTGGCAGGGACGCCAGGCTGCCTCACTAGGTACCCCTGACGTAAAAACTAAAAGCGAGCCCTCTAAGGAGTATACGTGCGTGCCTACGTGCATACGGATCCCTGGGAAGGAAGGCAGGCTGGAAGGAGTCAGGCCCAACTTTTCACAGAGGTTCTAGGGGAAACGCTGGGCCAGGCGACACAGAACAGGGCTCTTACCCTTCGTGCCCTAGTCCTGCTTCTCTCTCAGACTAGCAATTCTGCATTCACTTTGGCAGTTTTTTCAAAAAAAAAAATCTCACTGCTTGGGTGATCATTCCGGCCCCAGCACTACCCCCATTTGGGGCCTGCGGGGAGGCCTACAGTACCTCCCCTTGTCTCTCTAAACGACACTCAGCTCAACCACCTCCTACCAGCAGCACTCTTGCCTGCCTCTCAAGTCCTGGCCTCGTGGGTGGCCAAAGTCCAGGCCAAATCCCTGCAACGCCTCCCCAGCGGGACCACCTTGTGCAGATTGGGCTGTGCCTGGGTCCAGGCCCGGACCCTGTCACCATCCCTGTGAATGCTCCAAGGGGGCAGAGTTCCCCGTTCCCTCATCCTGAAGCTCCATGTCTGAGGATGGCTGGGCAGAGGGTAGATGGCGATCTGATGGTGAGGAGGACCGTGCATATCACCTGTGGGCCAGGCCTGTTCTCAGTGCTTGGCCTGAGCCGCCCATTCAAGCCTCAAGAGCCTCCGAAGGCAGGTGCTCCTGGGATTGGCATTCTGCAGGTGAGGGCAGGTACCTTTGCCTGTGGCCTGGCTCCACTCCCTGCGCACAGGGGCCCTGCCTCCTCCTCTTCCCTCTGCAGTTATGCCGGATTCTATCCACAGCTGCGCTACCAGGTGGGGAACACCTATGGGCGCAGCACAGCACAGCTGCTCACAGACCCCAGCGTGCAGAAGAGCCCCTGCTCCGTGCTGTCCCCCATATCCAAGCCCAAGTTCATCGAGGACTTCCGCAAGTCCAAGCCACCTTTGATCCCCTGCCGTGACCTCACTGAGCCCTACATCCCCCACTACACGGGTGAGCCGCCCGCCCGCCAGCCTTGTCTGCCCCAGGCTCACCCTCCTGCCTGTTGTCACTCATACCCACCCTGTCCGTACAGGTCTGAAGCCCTACAAGAACTTTGAGATCCTGGGCCAGTTCCCACCCCAGGAGGTGGACGCCCAGAAGGGGCTGCCGGGCGTAGGGAATGTATCCAGGCAGGTCCTGCTGCCTGTGGGCTTCATGCCCTACCCTCCCTACCCCCCGTGCCCGCCAGGCAGGAAGGGGGACTCCAGAGACTTTGGACACCCAGGCCTGCGGCTGGCATACGGGGAGGAGGGCTGGAAGAGCACCAGCCCTGTCCACGAGGCCCCTGGGCGGGACCAGGTAACTGGGAGAGGTGCTGGGACCAAGCCTCACCCCAGCCAGACCCAAGTGGGGTTTGAGGCAGTGACTTGCTCCTCTCCCACCCCAGCTGTACCATTGCAGGAGGGATGAATACCCACCCCCAGCTCACCAGCGGGAGACACTAGATGTGGGCAGGTTCCACAGGCTGCCCCAGCTCGACCACCCCAACCTGATCCAACGCAAAGCCATCTCAGGTGAGTGCCCAGGGCGTGGGTATGAGAACACTCACTCCCCACATGCACTCCAAGGCTCCAGGGGCCCAGACAGGATGAGAGTGACAGCAAGTGAGGACTGCCCGTGGGTCTATCCCCAGCCCTGCCCCTGCCCTGAGAACTGTTTCCTAGAACCCGTCTTCTCCCAGAGCTCCTGCCCACCCACAGCCCCCTGGCCCCAACAGGCAATTGACCAATGTTTAGGGAAGGGAAAGAGCCCGAACAGACCGCCCTGACACATCTGGGAGCAGGTGGGTATGCCCAGGGAAAGGTGGACGGGACCTGGGGCAAGACCCTAACCACTTCCTCCCGTAGGCTATGCTGGCTTTGTCCCTCGGTTTGCCTGGGTGATGGGGGTGAATTACCGCGATGGTGTCACACAGGCTATGAATGAGTTTGACAAGCAGCAGGTATGAGGACGCCACCCCTGGGCCCGCTCCCAAATACCCAGCACGGCCTGCACGGTGGCATCCACTAGCACAGCCAAGGCTCAGCTGGCTTCCCTGGAGGGGGCCGTGAAGGGCAGCCCTTCTGAGAGGCCCGGGAAGGAACCCGTCTGTTCTCCTGACCGGGTCTAGGCTCCCTGCTCCGGAGTGCTGTGGGGAGCGATTAAGACAGAGGAGGCCCCTGGAAGGAGTCAGGCCCCACTTTTCACAGCGGTTCTAGGGGAAACGCTGTGCCAGGCGACACCACAGGGCTCTTACCCTTTGTGCCCTAGTCCTGCTTCTCTCTCGGACCCCAGCCGCCACCATGACCTACTGCTTACTGGCTGAGCTGGGGAGGGTAGCACACGTCACTACCTGCCTGTTTCCACAGTTCCTCTTCAGAAACCCCATCTGTGCCCTGGGTGAGAGGCTGCCCAGAACACACTGGCCTAGCAACACCATCTACAACAGCCAGGGCCTGATACCTTTCTACATGGGGTTCATACCATGTACGTACCCAGTGGGTCCCCTCACCTACCTCCTAGACAAGGGCGCAGTGACCAGGCCACCATAGGGAGGCGTTGGGTGACTGGCCCTCCAGAGGTTCACTGCGGCCAGGCCGGGCAGGAGGCAGGCGCCCAGGGCAGCCCAGAGCCCGTGCTGACCCCTAGCTGGGCGTGTGGCAATGCCAGGGGCTCAGCTGAGCACTGCCCCTTATAGCCGCGCAGGACAACTACGCGCTGACGTTTGGCAACAGTAGCCGCGAGGCCTGTCGGAAGGAACGGGAAAGGCGACACCAGACACTATGAAAATGCTTTAATGGAGGCGTCTGTACAGCATGTGAGGTCAAGACAGGAAGGAGAGCAAGTGCACACAGAGAGCAGACTGTGAGTGAATAAAGAGTTCACACGCTCCCACGCGCTTTACCAGGTAACAGCTCTAGGCCACCTCCTCCTCGGCCTCCTCCTCAAACTCGCCCTCCTCCTCGGCCGTGGCGTCCTGGTACTGCTGGTACTCGGACACCAGGTCGTTCATGTTGCTCTCGGCCTCGGTGAACTCCATCTCGTCCATGCCCTCGCCCGTGTACCAGTGGAGGAAGGCCTTGCGCCGGAACATGGCGGTGAACTGCTCCGAGATGCGCTTGAACAGCTCCTGGATGGCCGTGCTGTTGCCGATGAAGGTGGCAGACATTTTTAGCCCCCGGGGTGGGATGTCACACACGGCTGTCTTCACGTTGTTGGGAATCCACTCCACGAAGTAGCTGCTGTTCTTGTTCTGCACGTTCAGCATCTGCTCGTCCACCTCCTTCATGGACATGCGGCCCCTGAACACTGCGGCCACAGTCAGGTAGCGGCCATGGCGTGGGTCGCAGGCGGCCATCATGTTCTTCGCATCGAACATCTGCTGGGTGAGCTCAGGCACCGTCAGGGCCCGGTACTGTTGGCTGCCTCGGCTGGTCAGTGGGGCGAAGCCGGGCATGAAGAAGTGCAGGCGGGGGAAGGGGACCATGTTGACAGCCAGCTTGCGCAGGTCAGCATTGAGCTGGCCAGGGAAGCGCAGGCAGGTGGTGACCCCGCTCATGGTGGCTGACACCAGGTGGTTGAGGTCCCCATAGGTAGGTGTGGTCAGTTTTAGGGTTCTGAAGCAGATGTCATAGAGGGCCTCGTTATCAATGCAATAGGTTTCATCTGTGTTTTCTACGAGCTGGTGGACCGAGAGAGTGGCATTATAGGGCTCCACCACCGTGTCCGACACCTTGGGCGAGGGCACCACACTGAATGTGTTCATGATCCTGTCTGGGTACTCCTCCCGGATCTTGCTGATGAGGAGGGTACCCATCCCGGACCCAGTCCCCCCACCCAGGGAGTGGGTCAGCTGGAAGCCCTGCAGGCAGTCGCAGCTTTCAGCTTCCTTCCTCACAACATCCAACACCGAGTCGACCAACTCCGCGCCTTCTGTGTAGTGCCCCTTGGCCCAGTTGTTCCCAGCACCGCTCTGACCTGGAAGAGGGCAGCCAGTCACTCTTTGCTGGGCACGTGGTCACCACTGGTCACCCATGCCAAAAAGCCCAAATAATGCGGTGGGAGGGGACACACAGAGCTCAGCCTACAGGTACAGCAGACTCCCAAACTGATAAAGCAATAACGCACCCGTTTAAAAATTAAGTTAGGGGTCAAGCCAAGATGGCTTAACAATAAACCATGCCCTCCCACAGGCAGCCCCTGCCAATTCTCAAGGACAGATGAGCTGCAAACACGGCTCCCGCCGCCTCCAACTCCGTGTTTGTAGCAGAAAGATTACATCTGCCGGTTCCTTCCCTGCGGGTGGACAGCTGGGCCCTCCTCCCAAAGCCGCTTTAGGAGATTGAGACTCCATGGGGAGGAGGTGTCCCGGGGCGCGAGCTTCTGCCCAGAGGGCAGAGCGGGTCAGGACCTCAGCTCTGCGGTGCTGCCGGCAGTGACCTTGGGCACCCCCTGACCTTTGAGCCGTCCTGGCTATATCAGGCCGCCGCCCAGCCCCCATGCCGCGGCTCACCGAAAACGAAGTTGTCTGGCCTGAAGATTTGCCCGAAGGGTCCCGAGCGCACGGAGTCCATGGTGCCCGGCTCCAGGTCCACGAGCACAGCGCGGGGCACGTACTTGCCACCTGGAGCGGGTTGGGGGGAGGGGGAAGAGGACGTCAGCGAGGAGAGGGCCGCGGGAAGGCAGCAAGGAGTTGGGGAAGGGGCGTGGCGTCTCACCGGTGGCCTCGTTGTAGTACACGTTGATCCGCTCCAGCTGCAGGTCGCTGTCGCCATGGTAAGTGCCGGTAGGATCGATGCCATGCTCGTCGCTGATCACCTCCCAGAACTGCGAGGGACGCGGGCGGGCCGGGC